TTTTCCTAAAATGTTGATATAACCTAGATTTTTAGGAGTTTTTTCGAATGAGCTATCAAAAAATATAGAGTCCCGTGCAAAATTTGAGGGTTTTGCCCTGTTGAAGCTCAAAACGCGTATGGTTCTTCAATAAAATCTGTAGATTTTTCAGCGGTTTTGAGCGCGCGCACATCGTGGGCTCAAATCGAACGTTCAAAAGTAGGCAGCCACCTTAAATAAGCCATGCAGTAGAGACGTAAAGTCCGCTTTACTTTTCAGCTAAGTTTAACCTTAGATTTTACATATACGACACTCAAATGGCTTCCACTTGGAATCCGCCAAATGGCAAGAAACATTATCACGTCCAATAATAACAGCTTATTCTACTTATACCACGACAATCAGATGGCTTCCACGACCCTAAAATGGCTTCCACGTGCAATTCACAAAACGGCGGGAAACGTTATACGTCCAATAATAACAGCAAATTCTACCTATATCACGGCACTCAAATGACTTTTACTTGGAATCCGCCAAATGGCGGGAAACGTTATCACGTCCAATGAAATGTCACAGTGTAATTCTTAGCAAAGAAAGCCGCCATGTTGGTTGTTATAACAAAACAAACCCACAACAAATTATTTTAACGAATTCCACCAACATAGTGGCCATGACGTCACTCGCGGAAGTCTGGAAAAATTTAAAGTAATGAATGAATTATTCCCAGAGGCACGAGAAATTGAATGGTAATTCTTATTTTAAATTTACGCTGACCCGCTCAGGCTTTAGAAAGCCTTCGTCAAGCAATGTTGTGGGATCTTTATTTTCAATGCTCGAAAAACCAATGAACTAGATTATATTCTTGTAGAATACGATTTATATTCTTGTAGAATACGATTTATCATGTGACATAAGAAACGAAAGCTGGGAGAGAATATAATAAATGCAATTAAATAAGCATTTTCCTCTTCTCCCAAATTGAAATTTAAAATGTCTACACCGATGTAAACATCAAAAAAATACAATTGACAAATTGAAAATAGAACTAATTTATGATTATTTTTCTTCGTCTCCCATGGATACCACCGTCTCTGTACTTGGCGTTAAATTTGTAGCGTCGATCACGTGATCATTTGGCTGTGGTGAACTGGTACTGCCGTAGGTCTTTCGCCGAGTGAGCTGTGATGGACTGGAATCATCACTAGATGTGTTACCCTCTCGTTTGGTGCGTAAAACAGGCGGAAGATATGCCTCCTGTACACAACAGAAAGGAAATGACCAGGTAAATGATCTGTACATCATACCGACAAGGGAGGGGGAGGGGGTGGGGGTGAGGACTAAGAAACTGAAGCTAACCCAAGGTGACAGGTAACAGTTGCCAACTAAACTTGTGGCCCTCTATGTTTAACGTCTCTAAGTGAGACGGGACCGCCATTTTACGTGGTCATCCTAGCCACGTGAAGGGTTTAACCATTAGCAGATGTAATTACAGGGGCACTGAGGGCGGGAGACAGACACCTAGTGATCTCCCCTGATTCCACCAGCAGTAAGTTGTAATCCTACTTTATTACCAGAACCCTTACAGTTTTATCAACACAGCTCATTCATTACATCTTTCCTAGCCATAGCAATTAGTCCTCGAGCTCGAATGGGTTATTGAGGGCGAAAGGGTTATCCAACTATAGTCGGTCAAATGTATAGATGCAAACAAGTTTTGAATATACCCATTTACCTTCGTATGCAAATTGCCAATTTAAGATCACATGACATTCTCTTGAGGATTGTTCTTTTATGACGAAAATGTTGAGATATTTACACATGAAAGAATCAACTCCCAAGAGTGGCATCACATGGTCTGAAATGTGCACAACAAACAACGAAGCTAAATAGGTCTATTGAAGTTAACCTTAATGGATTGGTTTTCAAAGTCGGCACTAGTGGGATATAACTTAGCTCATCCAATAAGAACGCAGCATTGATGATATATAGACCAATAGTTGGATTTGACTACATTGTAATAGCAATATTCAGAAAAAATCTGATAAGACTAAGTTATCGAACAGAAGTATGCAGAATCGAGCGTAGCAGATGGGCAGTAGTAGCAATATTTATTCGACCTCAAGTCTTACCGGCATATATTTTTCTGTAATGTTTTCCTCTTCGTCGGTTTGTAATCGCTGCTGGGATAATGAGAAATGAAAGAGTAAGGAGATTTTTTTTCTTAATCGTGCAAGGTGTCATACCCAGTCTCATACGCAGCCGCTATTAGTGTCGTGACTCAACGTGAGCATTGCGTGACGACACTAATGGGACTAATAGCGGCTGCGTAAGAGACTAGGCTTAGCTTGAAATAACTAGAAAGTCTTGGTGGGATAGGTAACATCACGTAACAGGAACCCTTGGGGGAAGGGTCTTTACAAAAGAGATATTTTCGGATTGCGCGTACAGTACCACGCGTAATTCCCTAGAGTATCATTTCTTTGTTTAACGGTCGCGCATAAGACACATGAATGTGGATACAACTCAAACAAAGAACCTTATTCTCCAGGGAATGACACGTGGTCTGAAATAGGAAAACATTACGCCCAAGGTAAAGAGATCTATTGACCACTTTTTAGGAAGAGAGGGGGAAGGGGTTGGGAGGAGTCAGCCACTGGAAATGTCAATGCTTTGTAAAAAGAGAAGAAATTATTCAAACTAAGTGGAAACGGAGCAATTGGAAAGGAAAAAAACCACAGTGTTTATTATTGGTCATTCATTGAGGAAAAAAAACTGTGTCGAGTTCACATTACAGTGCATTGTGGGGCTGTTTTAGGGACATATTTCCAAGATGGCGTCTATTTCGTCCCCTAAAACAGTCCCAAGCTTTTTCCTTCATCTCGGCATGGCTAATTGTTAGCATCAACAAGGCCTATGAATCATGGACATGGACAAACAATGTACCTTAAAGGGTCCGAGTTTCTTGAAAACACCAAAGAAAAGTCGTGCAATCAAAGCAATAATAGTAAGTATCACCAGTACAAGGGTGAAGATAGTCTGAGGATCATTGATACCTGGAGAAATAACAACACTACATTATTCCAACTATACCAGTGCTCTATTCCTGCTTTCTAGATCTGTGATAGAATGATTTTCATATGACCGTGAAAGAAAATAGACCATTTAGTTTGTAATAGTTGATAAAGAACAAAAGAAAATCATTGGTTTAGAGTCTACTACTAACTATTAGTTTGCCTATTCTTTCACGATCATATGAAAATCACTCTAAATCATTCCATAATTTAAATAAACAAACATATCAATATCTCAGTCAGTCAGTCAGCCAGCTAGAAACCAGGTCAAATACAGTCTCAGCTAGTGGCCACAGCCGGACTCGAACTCAGCGTTACCGGGTTGCGAGACCGACGCTATGACCACACGACCAAGGACCGTTTCAAATAATAAGTACGTGGCTTGGACATGATTAGTTTGCCATGTTGGTTGCGTAAATCATATTTAGTGCTTATGAGAAGGAACAAAAAAGAACTGAGCTGTGCGGCCAACGGGTCGGGTCGCTAGTTCGAGCCCTGCGGTCGCTGTTCTCTCCTATGCTACGAGGGTGTGCTCCGGTTTCCTCCCTCCGTAAAAATCAACAGGTGAGTTSAGCGTTGTGAGCATAGAATATAATGTAGTGGTAGTGCGTCTGAGCGAAAAGTGTCTCCAATTAGTGCGAAAGGCTAGAACGACTAGACACTTAAATAAAAGTGATTTATTTCTTTGATTTATGTATGTCTAGATCAGTAAGTCGCATAAGATCAGTAAATATATCAGATATCCCGCCGCTGTCACCAAATATTCACGTGGAGTGCCATGATTGGCTAAGGTTCATCAGTCACGACATTCAAATCAAGTCAGTAAACTCTTTTAAAAAGATAACGTCCAAGGTCATAAGTAAGAAGAAGTCCAAAAAGTAGGGATCTTGCGTTAAGGATGCAAGAGAAAATAATCCAAACACTTAAAATGAAAATCCATAAATTCAAAACTTTTCAAAAGTTCGAGTCAGCATGTAAATAACGTACTGAAATAATATTCAACTTAAGTTTTTAAGGTTTAAAAGTCGAGCTAATGAAGCCAAATATACTAACGTAAAACGACCAGAACTCTCAAAAACAAATGCGATTCAAAATAAAACGAGCAAGATTCTATCGGATTTAAGGCAAAACATTAGCCTAACGTGGACTTGTGACAATCTCATATTATGCACAGTCAACAACCTTCATCAGAGATTTACCATTCGTTTTTTGATTTAGTCTGAAGAATTCGGTGTATTACTCTAGGCATGATTGTATAGTTAACCAAATGACCATACTTACTACCAAAGTTTTCTGACACAATATCTTCGTAAGCCAACATTTCTAGGCACGTCGATCGAGTACCGGCTGGATTATAAACAAGTATGCATGTGCAAGACAGTATGCAGCCTTACTGCCAACTCACCAGCTGATTAGCAAGACACGTAATGTATAATTCACCCAGTCATACTGGGCCACTTTTAACGAATTTAAAAATATACGAAAAAGTGTTCATTTTTGCTACGGAGTACGTCGTTGCTACGCGACGTTCCGTTCTGAAGAAGGAAACTGCTGTTCGAAAAAGTCGGGTTTCGCGGGCTTATATATCTTAATTGTTGAATTTGGTTACTATAGCAATTGAATTTAACGTTGTGAATCTTGATATAAAAAAGGATTCAAAATTAGGAAAACGTCAGTGAAAAGTATTAACTACCGGTAATATGGAATAAAAAGTCCTTGAAAACAAGAATCATGAGCAAATTGTTTAGTGGGAGCAAAGAAAAACTGTATCCATGGCCGTATATTAGAAAGATTTGAAACATCAGTGTTAGTGAGGTTTTCCTAAACGTCACGCTACGAACCCCTTTCCTAAGGTTATGTCACGCTGTAAACCTTTTTCTCTGGTTATGTCACGCTAAACATATTTTTATTTAGGTTATGTCACGTTATAAACCTTTTTTTCTGGGTTATGTTACGCTAAACATATTTTTATTTAGGTTATGTCACGCTATGAACATTTTTTCTCTGGGTTATGTTACGCTAAATATATTTTTCTTTAGGTTGTGTCACGTTACAAACCTTTTTCTCTAGCTTACTTAACGTTAAATATATTTTTCTCTAGGTTGTGTCACGCTACAAACCTTTTTCTCTCAGTTTTGTCACGCTAAACATCTTTTTCTCTGTTGTGTCACGCAAACAAACCTTTTCCTCTAGGTTATGTCACGTTATAAACCTGTCCACTGACGGCGGCTATTGAAATGCCAAAGGGAGCCCAATACAGAAAAAAGTGACGAACATTAAACTTGGAGAAAATACCCCGTTAATTAAATATTTTGTATGTGAGGACAAAATAATGTCCTCCATTAAACAAGCAAATGAAAGAATCAACCAAAAATACAGTACAATGTTTTTCTTGCCCCTTTGTTCAATTTAATTAAATGTATCTAATGTAGATGTGCAGTACATAGTTGTGTGTGTGCGTAAATGGCATCCCTGGCATGTATCTCTACATAGAACACCATAAGGGGTTTTATGATTAGTCGAACACTTTGATGTCAATTGGGCTCCCTGTGGTCACACGAGTCTAGATTAGTACATACCTAGTTGTACAACGCCAAAGAACAGGATGGAAAGCATGAGGAAGAAGGTCGAGATAATGGTGATAGAGACTGCCGTGGTGTGTACTGACGGATCCACGTACTTGTAGGCAGGAGAGCGATAGTTGAAGTACAGGTTATACCGGTCAACTAGATGCTTTAATATCAAGTATAATAAACCTGCCATACAAATATATGGAAAATTTTTTTACATTAATTATATTAAGCCTGTAAATTTATCGATGCCATGAAACAACCTCTGGGCTGATCTA